TGACATCACTGCCCCTCTGCCAAAAAGCCAAGACCGGCCATTTGGTCAGCATCATGGAAAATCGGGTGATTCATGAAGCAACTACCATGGTGGAAAAGCCCTTCAACATTGAAATGCCGTCAACTTGCCAGCCGACGTGGCTGGAAAGAAACTGCGCCAATTAAGCGGAAACCGGTGGGTTGGAAAGTCCAGTCTGGCGCCGCCTGAACGATCCAGAAAGATTCCGCAAAACAAGCTTCGGCTTTGAACCAGAAGGCCCAAGAGAGGACATTGCAAGGTCCCTGCTCACAACCTCAGGTGGAATGCTTCACTTGCCAAGCTTGCCGGACTGCGTTGCAGCCTCTTGGGCTTCCCATGCGGCTCCAAGCACGGTTCCCGGCTATACTCAGTACACCGCAGGAAATAGGCTGCCTTTGCACTTTGGGCCTGGATTCAACAAGTTGCCGCAACTTGCATTGCACATTATTCACATTCTTTGGAAGCCCTTTCTCAGCCAGTGGGAGCTATTCGGGCCTTGTGCGGATTGTTGTGGGTCGAGCTGCTGTTTCTTATTTGCTTTGGCTCTGAAATCGACTTCAATCAGGGTCGCATCAGCCAAAGGCGAAGGCAGCGTGGGTCGGCTGCTGCTTTTTATTTGCTTTGGTTCTTGAACACACTTGAACCGTCGTCGCGCCAGGCCAAGGGCGACAGCAAAGTGAGTTCTAGCTGTTTTTGGCGCGTACCCTCCTGGTGGCCCTCCATTCTGGTTGACGAGATTTGCTCTAAGCACTGTCGCAGTTGGCAGCTACAAGTCTTTGATTGATTAAAAATACCTCGCCAACGAGCTTGACAGGCGACTCGGGAATCACGAAATCATACTGTCAACGGCCTTACCCCCAAACAACATGCCCAGTATTCAGGAACATGGGAAATAGGGCGGAGCTGACGTGCCCACCTGATATCACGGTCGACACGCCATGGACTGGGCCCTTACAAGCTAGCCTTTGTTTGCCGACACTGTGATTACTGCTCACCAAATGCTCAGGTCACAGCTGTGCTGACTCCGGCATGCAAATTGAGCGGCCCCGCGCTGACAAAAAGTCTTCAAAATCCGACTATCTGCGAGGTCGGCGCAGTGGCCCGAATCACACACCTTGCGCAAAGAACACCTTGCCTGTTAGCGAGGAGGTTGACTTTGGGCTCTCCGCACGCCCGACATTTCAGACCACGGAGGCTCCCATAGCGCAAGAGGGCACAAGAAGGCTGTCATACCAAGCCCTGCAAACCTGGACATCACTGCCCCGCTGCAAATGACCAAAGGCCTACCGGTACTCAGCATCATGGGTGCGGTCACACCCTTTTGGCAGCCAGGCGCAAAGCTTGCAGTCTTAAGCTGTGAGGGGCAAAACCAAACGGTTGGTAGAGATAAGCTTTGACGCAAACTCACATGGGTTAAGCATGATCCGGTGTTGACAAACAAGTCTGCCCTACCCCGCAGCGAGCAGCTTTGACTTTGACCTTCTGGCTTTGCCTGAAATGTCAACAGTCGAGCTGAAAGCTTGCTTTGGTTTTGTCCCTTCCAGGACTCGTTGTAGCCCAACTGACCAAAGGCGACTTCCTCGTTTCACGTCTCCTCCAGGAAACGTCGACACATTGCAAGTCAAGCTGTGACCTTGACATCACCGGTGACCAAAGACTTGCCGTTGGTCAAAATCATGGAAGCGGTCACACCCTTTTGCCAGCCGGGTGCAAAAGCTTGTACTGCTTTAGCCCGTCGGTCTGAAGCTGTGCAGGACAAGCCCAAACGGTTGGTAGAGGTAAGCTTTGACGCGGACTCACATGGGTTAAGCATGATCCGGCGTTGACACACAAGTCTGCACTACCCGATCGTCTGCCCCGCAGCGAGCAGCTTTAACTTGGACCTTGTGGCTTTGCCTGACATGTCAACTGTAGAGCTGAAAGCTTGCTTTGGTTTTGTCCCTTGCAGGACTCGTTGTAGCCCAACTGACCAAAGGCGACCTCCTCGTTTCACGCCTCCTCCAGGAAACGTCGACACATTCTAATTCAAGCTGCGACCTTGACATCACCGGTGACCAAAGACTTGGCGTTGGTCAGAATCATGGAAGCGGTCACACCCTTTTGGCAGCCGGGCGCAAAGCTTGCACTGCTTTAGCCCGTCGGTCTGAAGCTGTGCAGGACAAGCCCAAACGGTTGGTAGAGGTAAGCTTTGACGCGGACTCACATGGGCTAAGCATGATCCGGTGTTGACACACAAGTCTGCACTACCCAATCGTCTGCCCCGCAGCGAGCAGCTTTGACTTTGACCTTCTGGCTTTGCCTGACATGTCAACTGTCGAGCTGAAAGCTTGCTTTGGTTTTGTCCCTTCCAGGACTCGTTGTAGCCCAACTGACCAAAGGCGACTTCCTCGTTTCACGCCTCCTCCAGGAAACGTCGACACATTGCAAGTCAAGCTGCGACCTTGGCATCACCGGTGACCAAAGACTTGCCGTTGGTCAGAATCATGGAAGCGGTCACACCCTTTTGGCAGCCGGGCGCAAAAGCTCGTACTGCTTTAGCCCGTCGGTCTGAAGCTGTGCAGGACAAGCCCAAACGGTTGGCAGAGGTGAGCTTTGACGCAAACTCACATGGGTTAAGCATGATCCGGCGTTGACACACAAGTCTGCACTACAGCAGCTTTGACTTTGACGTTTGTGTCTTTGCCTGAAATGTCAACTGTCGAGCTGAAAGCTTGCTTTGGTTTTGTCCCTTCCAGGACTCGTTGTAGGCCTATCGGCACACCGACAGCCGCAACGGTAATTGGAAGTTGCGTGCACGCACGGCTTTGGCGCAAGCGCAGTGCACGCCAGACTTGCTAAAGACCTTGGGCAGGCTGTGCTCCAAGTGCCGCAGATCGCACGCTTCGATGCCTGGGCTTAAAAAAGGTGGGGCGGCCCAGCTCTTGCGTGGACACTGCACGAGACAACCGTTTGTGCTTGAAGACCAACGGCGCGGAGGGCACAAAGCTACTGGCGCTTGACCTGCGCATTCGCAAGTTTTGCTGCAGGAATGTGACTCCTGCTCCTCTGTGGAAAGCAAGGCCAAAACTCTGGAACTGTCCTGCGTCGGTTGGCAGAAACCTTCAAGACATTACTGGACGTCAGCATTGTGCGACGAGATCGTGCAGGCGGCGACGGCAGAGCTCGCGGGATGATCATAATTAAGTCCTCGAGACCTGGTTCCAGGGAGTGTCGCAACTGCTCCAAAAACTTGCGAACACGCAGCCAGGACATTTTCGTGACCTCTCGCTTTGTGGCAACATGGACGGATCGCTGCAGCCTGGTCAGCCGGTTTGCCCGGCTACCTCAGTATTGCTGGATTTACAATGGTGGTTTTTGTAAATCAACGGGATGCTCTGGCCTACTGCGGGCACGCTCCCGTTTGTTATCCCCTCAACTTACCAAGTGACCAAAGGCGACTTCCTCGTTTCACGTCTCCTCCAGGAACATCTTGCCGTTGGTCAGAATCATGGAAGCGGTCACACCCTTTTGGCAGCCCGGCGCAAAAGCTTGTACTGCTTTAGCCCGTCGGTCTGAAGCTGTGCAGGACAAGCCCAAACGGTTGGCAGAGGTGAGCTTTGACGCGGACTGACATGGGTTAAGCATGATCCGGCGTTGACCAACAAGTCTGCACTATCCCATCTTCTGCCCCGCAGCGAGCTGATTTGACTTTGACCTTGTGGCTTTGCCTACAATGGTGACCGTCAAGCTGCAAGATTGCTTTGGTTTTATCCCTTCCAGGACTCGTGATTGTCTTACAAGAAGACGGGTTGTAGCCCATACAATCAAAGGCCACTTCCTCGTTTCACGTCTCTTTCGACGACAAACGTCGCACATGGCAGGTCAAACTGGGACCTTGACATCACTGCCCCGCTGCAAATGACCAAAGGCCTACCGGTACTCAGCATCATGGGAGCGGTCACACCCTTCAGCCAGGCGCAAAACTTGCAGTTTTAAGCTGTGCAGGACAAGCCTTTGACGCGGCTCACATGGGTTAAGCATGATCCGGTGTTGACACACAAGTCTGCACTACCCGATCGTCTGCCCCGCAGCGAGCAGCTTTAACTTTGACCTTCTGGCCTTGCCTGAAATGTCAACTGTAGAGCTGAAAGCTTGCTTTGGTTTTGTCCCTTGCAGGACTCGTTGTAGCCCAACTGACCAAAGGCAACTTCCTCGTTTCACGCCTCCTCCAGGAAACGTCGACACATTGCAAGTCAAGCTGCGACCTTGGCATCACCGGTGACCAAAGACTTGGCGTTGGTCAGAATCATGGAAGCGGTCACACCCTTTTGCCAGCCGGGCGCAAAACCTCGTACTGCTTTAGCCCGTCGGTCTGAAGCTGTGCAGGACAAGCCCAAACGGTTGGTAGAGGTGAGCTGTGACGCGGACTCACATGGGTTAAGCATGATCCGGCGTTGACACACAAGTCTGCACTACCCGATCGTCTGCCCCGCAGCGAGCAGCTTTGACTTTGACCTTCTGGCTTTGCCTGAAATGTCAACTGTCGAGCTGAAAGCTTGCTTTGGTTTTGTCCCTTCCAGGACTCGTTGTAGCCCAACTGACCAAAGGCGACTTCCTCGTTTCACGTCTCCTCCAGGAAACGTCGACACATTGCAAGTCAAGCTGTGACCTTGACATCACCGGTGACCAAAGACTTGCCGTTGGTCAAAATCATGGAAGCGGTCACACCCTTTTGCCAGCCGGGTGCAAAAGCTTGTACTGCTTTAGCCCGTCGGTCTGAAGCTGTGCAGGACAAGCCGAAACGGTTGGTAGACGTGAGCTTTGACGCAGACTGACATGGGTTCAGCATGATCCAGCGTGGACAAACAAGTCTGCACTATCCCATCTTCTGCCCTGCAGCGAGCAGGCCTTGTGGCTTTGCCTAAGATGTCGACGGTCAAGCTGAAAGGTTGATTTGGTTTTGTCCCTTCCCGGACCAGGCATTGGGGTTGCAACCCGACTAATCAAAGGCCACTTCCTCGTTTCACTGCTCTTGCTGAAACCTCCCTCTTTGGCAAAGCTGGGACTTTGACATCGCTGCCCCGCATCACGGGACTGGGCACACCTAGCAAAACTTGCCAGCCTGGAAAGAAGCTGCACCAATTGAGAGGAAACACGGTGAGTTCCCATACAGGCCAGCGGAAAGTCCAGTCTGGCGCCACCTGAACGATCCAGGAAGATTCCGCAAAACCAGCGTCGGCTTTGAACCAGAAGGCCACCAAGAGAGGGTGTTGAAAAGCGCACTTCCTATATTCAGATCTCTTCCGAGAAACGTCGCACATTGCAGCTCAAGCTGGGACCTTGACATCACTGCCGCTCTGCCAAAATGCCAACACCTGCCATTTGGTCAGCATCATGGCAAATGGCAAATCGGGTGATTCATGAAGCAACTACCATGGTGGAAGGGCCCTTCAACATCGAAATGGCGTCAACTTGCCAGCTGACGTGGCTGGAAAGAAACTGCGCCAATTAAGCGGAATTACGGTGGATTCCCATAGAGGCCACCGGAAAGTTCAGTCTGGCGCCACCTGAACGATCCAGGAAGATTCCACAAAACAAGCGTCGGCTTTGAACCAGAAGACCACCAAGAGATGATATTGCAAGGTCCCAGCTCACAACCTCAGGTGGACTGCTTCACCTGCCAAGCTTGCCGGACTGCTTTGCAGCCTCTTGGGGTTCCCACGTGGCTCCAGGCGCGGTTCCCCGCTATACTTATTACACCGCAGGAAATTGGCTGCCTTTGGACTTTGCGCCTGGATTCAACACGTTGCGCCAACTTGCATTGCACATTCTTTGGAAGTCCTTGCTCATCCAGTGGCAGCTATTTGGGCCTTAAGCGGATTGTTGTGGGTCGGCTGTTGTTTCTTGTTTGCTTTGGCTCTGAAATCGACTTCAATCAGCGTCGCATCAGCCAAAGGAGGAGGCAAAGTGGGTCGGCTGCTGCTTTTTATTTGCTTTGGTTCTTCAACAACTTGGACCGGCGTCGCGCAAAGCCAAGGGCGACGGCAAAGTGACAGTTCTATCTGTTTTTGGCGCGTACCCTCTTGGTGGCCCTCCATTCTGGTTGACGAGATTTGCTCTAAGCACTGCCGCAGTTGGCAACTACAAGTCTTTGATTGATCAAAAATACCTCGCCAACGAGCTTGACAGGCGACTCGGGAATCACGAAATCATACTGTCAACGGCCTCACCCCCAAACAACATGCCCAGTATCTAGGAAAATGGGAAATAGGACGGAGATGACCTCACGTCAAATCCAGCATGGGTGAGCTCTTGCCTACCTGATATCACGGTTGACGAGCCATGGACTGGGGCCTTACAAGCCACCCACAGTGCTGCAGCCAGCCGTTGTTCGCCTTGATTGCTGCTCACCAAATGCTCAGGTCACAGCTGTGCTGACTCCGGCATGCAAATTGAGCGGCCCCGCGCTGACAAAAAGTCTTCAAAATCCGACTATCTGCGAGGTCGGCGCAGTGGCCCGAATCACGCACCTTGCGCAAAGAACACCTTGCCTGTCAGCGAGGAGGTTGGCTTTGGGCTCTCCGCACGCCCGACATTTCAGACCACGGAGGCTCCCATAGCGCAAGAGGGCACAAGAAGGCTGGAGCTCTGAAAGGCAAAGCCTTCTGAAACAAGTCGCAAGGAAGGCTTCAGCTGAAGATTAAAAGACAGTTCCAGGCGTACCATGCATGACGGCCTGCGCCAGCTGCGCGTCGGCACAAAATCTCAATGCCTGCATCGTTGGTGATTTGGATTGAAAGTGACTACGGAAGGCCTCTGTTAGACAGGTGCTCAGCCCCATTTGAGCAAATGAAGCATCGCAGCGCTTTGGACGCAGTCAGTCCCCCTGTAGGACAGCGATTACTTTCTCATTTCGCCTATTTGGGAGGGAAACACGACAACGCCACACCAAGCCCTCCGCGACCCAGGGCCGAGTTCAAGGCCCAACCAAACCACACACCGTGCACAAAGAATGACGTTCATACCAAGCCCTGCAAACCTGGACATCACTGCCCCGCTGCAAATCACAAAAGGCCTACCGGTACTCAGCATCATGGAAGCGGTCACACCCTTTTGGCAGCCAGGCGCAAATGCTTTAGCCCGCCGGTCTGAAGCTGTGCATCTTCTGCCCTGCAGCGAGCAGCTTTGACCTTGACCTTTTGGCTTTGCCTAAGATGTCGACGGTCAAGCTGAAAGGTTGCTTTGGGTGTGTCCCTTCCCGGACCAGCTAGCCTGTTCGAATTCCTGGGGGCCTAATCGCAATCCGTAATCCGCTTAATCCTTGTGTTGTTTGGTAATCGTCTTAATCCGTAATCCGCGCTTCAAACTTTGGGTCAAACCCGTATGTTGGAGTATGGAAATCCGTGCACCCCATAATCCACAATCCGCAAGCCGCACAATCTAATCAGTAAATCGCACAATCCGTAATCCGCTAATCATTGGGAATTGGCTTTGAACAAGCTAGACCAGGCATTGGGGTTGCAACCCGACTAATCAAAGGCCACTTCCTCGGTTCACTGCTCTTCCTGAAACCTCCCTCTTTGCAGGTCAAGCTGGGACTTTTTCATTGCTGCCCCGCATCACGGGGCTGGGCACACCTAGCAAAACTTGCCAGCTGCCGTGGCTGGAAAGAAACTGCACCAATTGAGAGGAAACACAGGCCAGTGGAAAGTCCAGTCTGGCGCCACCTGAACGATGCAGGAAGATTCCGCAAAACCAGCGTCGGCTTTGAACCAGAAGGCCACCAAGAGAGGGTGTTCAAAAGCGCACTTCCTGTGTTCACGTCTCTTCCGAGAAACGTCGCACATTGCAGCTCAAGCTGGGACCTTGACATCACTGCCCCTGTGCCAAAAAGCCAAGACCTGCCATTTGGTCAGCATCATGGCAAATGGCAAATCGGGTGATTCATGAAACAACTACCATGGTGGAAGGGCCCTTCAACATCGAAATGGCTTCAACTTGCCAGCTGACGTGGCTGAAAAAAACTGCGCCAATTAAGCGGAAAGGCCAGCGGAAAGTTCTGTCTGGCGCCACCGGAACGATCCAGGAAGATTCCGCAAGACAAGCGTCGGCTTTGAACCAGAAGGCCACCAAGAGAGGGTGTTCAAAAGCGCACTTCCTGTGTTCACGTCTCTTCCGGGAAACGTCGCACATTGCAGCTCAAGCTGGGACCTTGACATCACTGCCCCTCTGCCAAAAAGCCAAGACCTGCCATTTGGTCAGCATCATGGCAAATGGCAAATCGGGTGATTCATGAAGCAACTGCCATGGTGGAAGGGCCCTTCAACATCGAAATGGCGTCAACTTGCCAGCTGACGTGGCTGGAAAGAAACTGCGCCAATTAAGCGGCAACACGGTGGGTTCCCATAGAGGCCGGCGGAAAGTTCAGTCTGGCGCCACCGGAACGATCCAGGAAGATTCCGCAAACAAGCGTCGGCTTTGAACCAGAAGGCCACCAAGAGAGGAAAGGTCCCCGCTCACAACCTCAAGGTGGAATGCTTCACCGCTTTGCAGCCTCTTGGGGTTCCCACGCGGCTCCAGGCGCGGTTCCCCGCTATACTTAGCACACCGCAGGAAATTGGCTGCCTTTGGACTTTGGGCCTGGATTGCCGCAACTTGCATTGCACATTATTCACATTCTTTGGAATTCCTTTCTCAGCCAGTGGGAGCTACTCGGGCCTTGTGCGGATTGTTGTGGGTCGACTGTTGTTTCTTGTTTGCTTTGGTGGCTCTGAAATCCACTTCAATCAGCGTCGCATCAGCCAAAGGCGAAGGCAAAGTGGGTCGGCTGCTTCTTTTAATTTGCTTTGGTTCTTGAACAGACTTGAACGGCAAAGCGACAGTTCCAGCTGCTTTCGGCGCGTACCCTCTTGGTGGCCCTCCATTCTGCTTCACGAAATTTGCTCTAGGCACTGTCGCAGCTGGTGGCTACAAGTCTTTGACTGATTGAAATACCTCACCAACGAGCTTGACAAGTGATTGGGGCATCACGAAATCATACTGTCCACGGCCGTACCCCCAAACAAAATGCCCAGTATCTGGGAAAATGGGAAATAGGGCGAAGCTGACCGCACATCAAATAGCCTGGGTGAGCTCTTGCCTACCTGATATCATGGTCGACCTGCAATGGACTGGGGCCATACAAGCTACCCACAGCGCTGCAGCCAGCCGTTGATGCTCAGTTCACAGCTGTGCTGACTCCGGCACGCGAACTGCGCGGCCCAGCGCTGACAAAAAGTCTTCAAAATCCGACCGTCTGCGAGTTCGGCGCACTGCACACACCTTGCACAAGCGACGCCTTGCCCCTCAGCGAGGAGGTTGACTTTGCGCTCTCGTCAGGCCCGATATTTCAGACCGCGCACTTCCTGTGTTCACGTCTCTTCCGGGAAACGTCGCACATTGCAAGTCAAGCTGTGACCTTGACATCACCGGTGACCAAAGACTTGCTGGTGGTCAGCATCATGGAAGCGGTCACCCTTCTGGCAGCTGGGCGCAAAAGCTTGTACTGCTTTAGCCCGTCGGTCTGAAGCTGTGCAGGACAAGCCCAAACGGTTGGTAGAGGTGAGCTTTGACCCGGACTCGCATGAGTTAAGCATGATCCAGCGTTGACAAACACGTCTGCACTATCCGATCTTCTGCCCTGCAGCGAGAAGCTTTGACCTTGACCTTGTGGCTTTGCCTAAAATGTCGACGGTCAAGCTGAAAGGTTGCTTTGGGTGTGTCCCTTCCCGGACCAGGCATTGGGGTAGCAACCCGACTAATCAAAGGCCACTTCCTCGGTTCACTGCTCTTCCTGAAACCTCCCTCTTTGCAGGTCAAGCAAAGAAGACTTTAACATCGCTGCCCCGCATCACGGGGCTGGGCACACCTAGCACAACTTGCCAGCTGTCGTGGCTGGAAAGAAACTGCACCAATTGAGAGGAAACACGGTGAGTTCCCATAGAGGCCGGCGGAAAGTTCAGTCTGGCGCCACCGGAACGATCCAGGAAGATTCCGCAAAACCAGCGTCGGCTTTGAACCAGAAGGCCACCAAGAGAGGAAAGGTCCCCGCTCACAACCTCAAGGTGGAATGCTTCACCGCTTTGCAGCCTCTTGGGGTTCCCACGCGGCTCCAGGCGCGGGCTCTGAAATCGACTTCAACTAGCGTCGCATCAGCCAAAGGCGAAGGCAAAGTGGGTCGGCTGCTTCTTTCAATTTGCATTGGCTCTTGAACAGACTTGAACGGCTGAAAAAAACTGCGCCAATTAAGCGGAAAGGCCAGCGGAAAGTCCAGTCTGGCGCC